ACATACATATTGAACAAAAAAATAATAATAAATAAATAAATAAATAAATAAATAAATAAATAAATAAAACAGTAATGGAAATACATTACTTTGCATTACTTAGTAAACTATACCCAAAATGGATAGCTGATGCTACTAAACCATATGCTTAGAACACAATCAATCCATCATCATAAATGAACATAAAACAAACCAAGTGGCAAGAAAAATAAAACATCCGGAAACCTTTCTGAAATTTCCCCAACAAAAAAAAAGTTAAGTGATTGGATTTCAGCTGGTAAACATTCCAACATGAGATGTCTCTGTACAGAACTGAAGAAAGTTTTATGCAGAAAAAGAGAAGACTGTATTTAAGTCTGTCATTGACCATGATAGAATAAACACTGGTTATAAAATCCCAACCAAGTGTTAAATCTGCAGCTTTATTCTGCACAATCTGCAATTCATCCAGGTCTTTTCTTGAGGCACTAGACCAGATAACAGAGAGCAGTTAAAGTTACATAAAACTAAAACTTGCACCATTAATTTCCTAACACCAGGAGACATGAAATGAGTATTACAACTAATTATTGAAAATTTTCTACTCATTTTAAATTACAATTTTCTCAATGTGTGCTGACAAAGATAGTGTTTGTTTGATAAAACTCACAACAGTTTGACTTCTTTAACTTTATGTATTTGCTGTTTACTTAAAGAAATATTCATCCTTGATTGACCATAAACTACATCTCCCATAATGCATGTCAGAATTCACGGTCAGAAAGTGGAAGAGTTCAGAATTTAAGACTTACCACAACTCAGTCAGTAAAACTCTTACTTTTACTTTTAATAGTATTTCTGTGTTACTTATTCCACATTTAGTCAGTTGTCCATGTCAGAGTTTGTAAGGAGATGTGTTAAAATGCTGTTTCTATGCAGGAAATACCAGGTAGAGCTCAATTAGTGTTAGCAGTGATCAGAATACCATAAATGTCTGTGTCTTACTAGGAAGTCTTTGCCATTAGCGGTTGTTTTATATCCATCTTTGTCGGCCAAATGCAGAAGGTTGAACTCAAAACCAGAGTCTGGGTCCACAACAGAACAGGTCTGAAACATCCAGAATGGTTAATTATAAAAACTATTTGTTAATGTAGATCTTTATTGTAAAAAAGATGTAAAAGATAGTTTGAACTCACATTGTTTTTGGTGGTTTTGATGGAACAGGCTGCTCTGGTCTCCCACTTGAAGTTGGCAGTGCAGTTCTGGTTCATCAGGAACTGCGGGCCCATAGACTGAAGAGCGCAGAGCACAAACAGGTTGAGTGATCCACGGAGAACCTCCAGCGTTAAACTGTATTTAAACACCACATTTACTCACGGTTGTTCCTCTGGAGCAGACCAGGTGGATCCGAGTCGTGTAGGAGAGTGTTCGGCCTTCTGACGTGCAAGCAGAACCGTCGGTGAACTCCAGCAGCAGCCGGTCCTGTCCCTCTATGATGGGTCCTCGTTTGGACACCCCCATGTTACTGACCGACACCACCTCCTTTGGAGAACCCTGAGGACAGAAGATTTGATTTAATACTGACTGATAAATGGGTTTAAAACTAAATCCCTACAAAAAAAACATGAAATAAAGTTCACAAACCTGTTAAAAATGATATATGTATAAAACCAATCTGACTGATCATGATTTTAAGAGCATTCACAATTACCGTATTTATTCGTGTATAATACGATCTCATGTATAATACGACCTCATGTATAATACGATCTCATGTATAATACGATCTCATGTATAATACAACCCTCCCCACCTTTTTTTGAACTTAAAAAGCATATAAAATTTAATCCTCAAACTACCTCCAATTTCATCCAGACTTCAAGATTTTTCAGCC